ATTTTTAAGTGGCTTTATGACTAAAGGTTCTCATTCATCCTGGCAATTATCAACTGATTCGAAATGGTCATTATTGATAATGTTAATAAAAGGATAATATGATAATTATGATTTAAAGTGAATTTCCAGTAGTTTCAATTACCTCTTCAGTAATGAGCAAAAAGATTTCAGATGGATCTTTAGGAGAAATATTATTTGGGTTGAATTTCTCTGATATTATGATTGACTTTCTGTCTTGAAAATAATTCGTTAATCTTATCAAACGCTTATCATATCTAAAAACAAAGTACTAAATGGAAAAGGTGAAAAGAAAGTCAATTTTTGGAGTTTTGTTGACTGACTAATGATAAGTGACATTGTCCTAAATTGTCAAAACTATGGTATATTATTTTAGGTTTCGTTCACTCTAATGATTGATTGATTGAGATTTGATTTGAACAGTTTCACCATTCGACATATGATTAGGCTTATATAATGGAATGCCAATGCGATAATCGACGACATATGATCGGCTGTCTTTATTCTTATCAATTTATCAATTAATGTCTTTTCTATGGTAAATATCAGTAAAAAAAAAAAGAAAAACGAAAAAATTTCGAAATTCTTTGATGGATTTTTGAAAAAATTTGACAAATTTTTGATGAAAAAAATCAATTCAAATTGTTTGTTTGAATTTTTTGTTTTTTTTCTCAAAATTTTTGTTTTTATTTGTTTAATTACAATTGAAACGAAAAATTTCATTTCATTTCAAATTTTTTTTTAAATTTTATTTTTTTCTTATTTTTAATAGATTTTAATGGATTTTATACTAATGAAAAATTTTACTGAAAGAATTTTATTCCTTTTTTTTTCAGTATTTTTATATTTAATGGATTTTATTTTGATGGAGAATTTAATGAAAAAAGAAATTTTGTTTTTTTTTCTTTTTTATAGAATGTTTTAATGGAAAATTTCATAGGAATATCTTTTTTTTGTTTCATTTTTATCATTTTAATAGAAAATTTCCTATAAAATTTTTTTTGGAATTCATTTTAGAAAATAATTTAAATTTTTATTTCTAACATTTTTTTGAAAATTTTTTGAAAATATTTTGTTTTCTTTTTTTTTCTAAAAGATTTTATTTTAGTATAAAATTTAATGGAAAAATTTTATGTAAGACTTATTAGTTTTTGGCTTTAGCAATCCGTATTTATTTTATTGCATGGAGAAAATGGCTTTTTGATATGCATTTTTAGGTAAAAATTTTTATTTGAATTTCTTAGGCATTTTTTTCGCGATATTTGTTTTCATTAAAAATTTTTTCACCTAATTTATTGACTGTATAATTTTTTAAAGAATATTTTATAAAAAATATTGTAAATTTTATTTTAAATATTTTGAATAGAATATTTTAAATATTTTAAATAGAATACTTTAAGTTTTTTTAAAGAATATTTTATAGGAAATTTAAAGATTTTTTAGTGGAATATTTTAAATTTTTTCTTAGATATAGAAAATTTATAGATTTTTTAATTTTTAAAAAAAAACTTTTTAGAAAAATATTAAACGATATCTTAATATTTTACAGAAAATTTAGAATTTTTTTCGAATTTCGAATTTTTTTTCATAAAAATTTTCAAATTTTTAATTTCTTATTGATTTAAATGCTATATTCTCTTTTGAGAATTTTGAGGATTTTTGTTTTTTTTAATTTTTTTTTGAGCGGTCGAAAAATTCAATTATAAAACAAAAAATGTTTTTTGAATCTTTCGCATTGTTTGGAATTTGCTAAATAATTTTGAAAAAATGAAATTAAAAATTTTTTTTTCTTTATTTTATTTTCATTTTTAGATTTTTATATTTTCAAGTTTTTTTTTTTTATTTTCATCATTCATTTTCAATAGATTTTTTTTTATTTTCTTCTAAACCAATTTCACTTTCTTGTTTGGTTGACTTTAATGATTGGTTGATCGTTGTTTGCACAGCTTCACCATCGAACGTATATATGTCAGGCGAGATATATTCGTTAATTTTTTTGCATGGGCGACACATGGCATAATTCGGCGATTGGCGTATTTTTCATGTTCGAGCCAAAATAGCCAAAATATATCGGCTTTGTTAAGAGTGATCGCGATCGCCAACTTATTCCAAGCCTTTTAAGTGGACTATTTGTATTGCAACGAGTTCTTATTATAAATGATGTTTTCTTATTTCATTGACGATTTCAGGTTGTTTACGCGATCTGGAAAAATTTTCACCTATTAGGCACCTATCGTTCGGCTATTGATATATGAAAATATTGAGAATCACCGCATTGGGAGTTAGCTAATATTTCCTCAACTTTTTATAATTTTTAATTTTTTACAGTATAATTATTTTTATTTTTCTATTTTTAAATAATAATAGAATTTCGTTTGATTTGGAATAATTTCGATGAATTGATGAATCAAAATGTTACAGTCGAAGTTCGCTGGAAAATGATCGTTTTAAGGAGAATAGCAAGCGAAATTAAAATGATTAATTTTTTTTTTTCCCCTCCCCCTCCTTTCCTTTTCCCTTTCCCCCTCTTTATTTTTTCTTTGTTTGATGTTTGATTGATAATTTTAGTGATATTAAAGTGATATTTCTATTTGAAAAAATCTCCTCAAATGTGCTAATCAACGAACGAAGTTGTAATTCATACGATTATTATTAATCACTACCCGAGTATTTTGTCATCTTATCATTATGTTTTAATAGACACGAAGTTATCATTTTTTTATTAGATTATTAAATTCTAAAATTGCAAATTTCATTCTTTCCTAGCTATTGATTCATTTCGTTCCTCTTTTGGTCGTTTATTATCTTCAAAGATTAAAAAAAATACAAATATTTCATGAAATTTCAAATTTTAAATTTGAAATTTTGGAAAAGTTAATCATAAATTTTTTTAAAAAAAATTTTCTAAAATTTCAAATTTCAACTAATTAATGTTATTAAAGTTAAAATAACAAAGCAATCTTTTATAATGAAGCAAAGATATGTGAATAATAAGTGAATTATGTTGTTATCAATCATTTATCATATTTCTTATATTGTTTGCATTATTGCATTTTCTGGACAAGAAAAAAAAAAAAAGATTTGTGATCATTAAATATCAATAAAATCAAATAAACTCTTTGCTGAACTTCTTTTTTATATTTATTTTGTTTTTCTTTTCCAAATAAAATTTTATTTTAAAAAGAATTTTTTAAATATTTTGAATGTAAATATTTGCGAAATAATTTCTTTAGCCGATTTTCATATTTATATTGTTTATTATTTTTATCTTTAAAGTTTTTCGTTTATAAAGATTTTTTTATATAAGATTGATATTTTGATAAAATTTTATGATCATTAATTAATAATTATTTATTAATATTGATGATGTTAATTATTGAAACTGGTCGGTTCTCTCTAATGTTTATTTTTATTTAAAATATTTGTACCTACGGGAAGAGGAAGGATATTTCTGTTTGTCGAATGAGGAAGAATATTTTTGTTTGGGGAATGAGGAAGGATATTTCTTATTGGGGGAGGAAGAAATACATTTACCTACGAGAAAAAAGATATTTCTGCTTACGTGTGAGGAAGAATATCGTACTTACAGAAAGGTGCAGAAAGAGATATTTCTGTTTACGATGTATTTCTATTTGCAGAATGAGAAAGAACATTTCTGCCTACGGAAAGAGGAAGAATATTTCTGCCTACGGAAAGAGGAAGAATATTTCTGCCTCTGAGAAGGGGAAGGATATTTCTACTTATGGGAAGAGGAAGGATATTTCTGCTTATGAATTGAGGAAGGATGCCATATTTAATTTCTGCCATATTCAATAAGAAAATAAACGTTTAGCTGAGATGAGCCAATAAAGATTTTATTCACACATTTATACATATAAATATATCTAAAATAATACTAATAATAATTTTTAATGCATTTTCATTAAATCATTGCCAATAATGCGATTTTCTCGATATAAAAATAATAGCGTTTGGTGGGAGTGGAATCAATTGGAAATCTTGCAACTTCTCAATTTAATTCGATTTTATCAGTTGTTAACTAAAGAATGGTTGAGATTAATTTGCTTATCTATCGATATTGCTTATCACCTTATCGGAATCATTGTACTTCATTTCCATTTTTTTTTTTGTATTTTTTTTTATATCATTTGTTTTAATATTTCGTCATTCGCTTATCATTCGACAATTCTTCGCATTTTTTTTCCACTTTTTATTGGTTTTATTGGTTTTCTTAAAATTTATTTTAGATCGAAATTGTTTTTTATTTTATTTTAAATATATGGATTATATTTATTATCAGTATTAATCAGCAATGAGGGATTTTTTATAATCAAATCTAATAATCATACAGAAGATATTTTATTCAAATCGAGGCGTAAATTCGAAAAAATCGCCAAACATTTTCCTGTCATTTTAATGAGACTTGACAGAAATCAATGTGAATTAAATGTGGGAATCGAAAGGATTGATGAAGGAAGAAAAAATGAATTATGCAAGATTGATCGATCTTTATTAAATGATTCGTCGAGAGCATCGAATAATGCAAATAATCAATTGGAATCAATTTCGTACGTTATCTTTTTTTTTCGTCCTCTTTTATTTCTTATCATTTTTATCACTTTTCTTTATCATTTTTTTGGTGATATTTCTAAATTTAAAATGAAACATTTTGAATTTGAATTTTAAATTGAATTTTATATTAGTAAACAGAAGAATATATCTTTAATTATTCATAAATTTTCAGTTATCGAAAAGAAATTTTCCATATTTTTGATGAATATTTCAAAAGACGAATATTTCACTTGAAATTAACGCATTCATTTGTATATAAGAAGAAATATAATCAAATTTTTTTCGATTATCTACAAAATTTTCTATTCGCACGGCATTCCTCCTATAATTATAATTATTATTTATCGTCTTATCGTTTAATATTATTATGTATTATAATTAAATTAGCATGTTTTGGATTTGTTATTGGTATGAAGAATGATGGTACGTCAATAATCGTGACGAATTTATCGTCAATTATCATAGATAATCATATTAATAATAATAATAATAATTTAAAAAATTTTCCAATAACAGCAACACTTAGAATACGTAGAATCTATACGAATCAATATGCAGTGAAAATTAGTGGTGGTAATAAAAATGAAGCCGAGCAGTTGGCTAAAAAATATGGATTCATTAATCTTGGACCAGTTAGTTGTTTTTTTTTTTCTTACTTTTTCCTTTCTTGAAATTTTAATATTTAATTATTTCATTTGAGTTTTTTTTTTTTTCTTATTCATTCATTATTTGTAGGATAATATTTTTTAAAAATTAATTTTTGATTAATAAATTTTTCGATTTTTCGATTTTTATTTTATACTTTTATTTTTATTTTTTTCATAAATCTTAGACATTTATCATTTATAAATTTTTAAATTATTTTTGAAAAAATTTCAACGTCTGTTGATTTTTTTTTTCTGTTTTTTCTTCTAGGAAAATGAATTTTCTTAAATTATATTTCTAAATTGATTGACTTATGTCGAATAATGAATGAATTAAGCAGATTGAAATAATATGTCGAATGAAAATATCCGACTTAAATAGCTTTTTTAATATTTATTCGAAGATAAATTTATTTCGGAAAAATGGATTGACAGTTTTTAAATATTTCAATATTTGAGATATTTTTTCAAATTTTATATCAAAAATATATTTATATATTTATATTAAAAATAAATTTATATCAAAAATAATATATTGTAAATATATTGCAATAAATTTTAAAAAACAATTAATTTCGGTTATTTTTGCTAAAATTTTAATAAAAAGCCAAAAAATTACAAAATTTTTTATTTTATTACTTAATTCGTAACTACACAATGCTTAAAATTTACGATATTTTACGATAAAAATGTTGGATTTGTTGTAAATGTCTCACCTTAGTATTCAGTAGAGCTAGGTGAATTAAAAATAATGCTAAAAAATAAAGGCAATGAAGAATTCTATGTTTGGCGAATCGATTAAGATTGAGGCGAATCCATTGGAAGCCAATTACTGAATTAGATTAGGACGAATGTTGAGTTTCTTAGCATTTTCGTTATGTTTTTATATATTTCATAATTGCTATATTTAGCATATTTTTATTTTATAATCGCAATTTTGGCTTATTGAATTAAAATTTTTTAGATTATACCCAATGATGAGTACTATCTTTTTGAATTGCCAACCAAGCAGAGGCGTTCATCACGTCGAACGAGAAGCATACAAGCATCTAATATTGCTCATGAACCACACGTAAATTGCATTGTATTTTTGAGTATTTAATTAGAATTTCATGTTTTTTTTTTTTTATTAACAATTGACTGCTTTCGTTAATATTTTTTTATAATTGTCGAAAAGCTTTATTAATTTATCAAAAATACAATATTTCAGTAGTTATAAGAAGAAGCAATGAAGCTAGCGTGTTGATTATTCATAATTCTTGTATTATAGGTGGTATGGATAGAACAGCAAATAGCTAAAAAACGGGTGAAACGTGGATTCAAATCTCATTTTTCTCATGAGGAATTGGACAATGAATATCATATAAGAGTATATTTAATGAATTCTTTTTTTAGAATTTAAATAATATTAAGTTTAGAGAAATTAATATAAAAAATAGGATTCTTTTTTAAAAAGATTTTTTTTATTCTCATGTAAATTAAAACTTTTTTGGATGCATTATTCGAAATCGAATAAAAATTTTAAAATTTAAAAATTTTTATTTCAAAAATGATTAATTATATTATAGATAAATAAAAAGACGTCGATTCGAAATAAACAAAATAACAAGGATGTTCTTACAAGTAACGATACGTATAACCTAAATGATCCTTTATGGGCTGATATGTGGTACCTTGTAAGACTTCTATTATATTACTATTATATTTATTTAATATTTCGCGAAATTTTTTTTCGCTTATATCTCTCAATGAGCTTATTTTTCACAAAAATTGAAGAATCGAGCAGTTTTCGATCGTGGTATGGATCATAATGTTCGTGAAGCATGGGCTCTTGGATATACAGGACGAGGTGTTGTTGTAACTATTTTAGATGACGGTCTTGAACGAACTCATCCTGATATTGCTCCTAATTATGTATGTCAATATTCTTCTTGCAGCACTCATTATCTTTAGCTTGGATGATTCCACTATCTAGGGTAAGATTTCCTTTTCAGAGAAAAGATGGAAACACGAACGGTCTCTATCTTGACTTTTAATGATAAATCTGTTCACAAAGAAATAAGAGATCTAAAATGATTTGATAAAAATAGCCAGTCTCTATTATCTCTTATTTATCAGTGGATATATTTCATGTGTAGGATAAAAATTTAAAAAACATCTATGTGATAACTATTTTTGTTTCATACTGTTTTATTATGTTTTTATTGTTTAGTTAAAAAGTGAATATTTGAAAAGTGAATACGATAATTTTTTATGGTTAAGATAAGATAAGAACTTTCATTTAAAATTCTCATTTTTTTTATAAATGAAAAATCTTATGCGTTTTTTCAATTGAAAATTATTTAAATTAGGATGCTAAGGCTAGTTATGATGTAAATGATCGCGATGATGATCCTACACCACGATATGATTATACGGATGAAAATAGACATGGTACTCGTTGTGCTGGAGAAGTTGCCGCAATTTTCAACAATTCACTTTGTATTGTCGGAATTGCATATAATTCTCGTATTGGTGGTTAGTGCTTTATTTTTTTTCCACAGATATTGCCTAAAATTGTTTCTTTTTCTAAATTTTTAAATTTATATATTTATATAGTTCCTATAGAATGGAATATTCAGAAAAACATCCATTTTATACGAGAACTGTTATTTTTTCATAAATTTTTTCCTATTAAACAAAAAACGATCTAATTTTCTGATGTTTCAGATGTTTTGAATTCAAATTGAATATAATAATATTTTGCAGGAATACGAATGTTAGATGGTGATGTAACTGATGCTGTAGAAGCAAATAGTCTTGGCCATAATTCGGATCATATTGACATATATTCAGCTAGTTGGGGTCCAGATGATGATGGGCGTACTGTTGATGGTCCTGCAAAGTTAACTAGGCGTGCTTTCGAAAAAGGCATTAGAGAAGTATATTTGCCAAGAATACGATACTTATTCTAGATACTTGAAATATGAAAATTAAAATTTTTAATAAGTTCAAAATCTAAATCTAATTGTGATAGTTTATAGTTTATTATGAAATTATTTTCAGGGTAGAGGTGGCCTCGGTTCGATATTTGTTTGGGCAAGTGGAAATGGTGGGAAGGATGCTGATTCATGTAATTGTGATGGCTATACTAATAGTATTTATACGTTATCTATATCATCAGCTACAGAAAATGGAAATGTTCCCTGGTATTCGGAGGCTTGTAGTTCTACTTTAGCCACAGCATATAGCAGTGGAGCTTCTGGAGAAAGAATGATCGTTAGTATTCATACTTGGTGAAAAGGAAGACAAGAATTGGCAGAAAATCAGAATGACTTATCATTTACATTTTTCTTGTCAAAATTTTTGAATATTTTTGCAGTTGACTACTGACCTGCATCATTCATGTACAAACTCACATACTGGCACTTCCGCGAGCGCTCCATTGGCTGCAGGAATTGTTGCTTTAACTTTGGAAGCAAATCCTAAATTAACATGGCGAGATATGCAGGCAATTCTTTTTGTTTACCATTAATTTTTTTCACAAAATATTTTTTTATGAAGATGATTTCTGGATTCCGGCAAACTGTTGGATTCCGATAAAAGCAAAAATTTTTCCTAAAAACTTTATAACTGTGTAAGTTCTGTAAATATTAAACTTCGCTGGTGAAGGCACATTCTCCGTCGTCCATCACAGGAGTTGACTCATATTTCGCTACTTGTTATCCTGCGATGAATGGCGAGGAGAATCGTTCAAGACCTGGGCTGGTACAGTCAAAAAAGATTCTTAACATATAGAGACTTATCAACGACTTATGGACTTAGACGATGGGAAAAGGAATATCAGAGATGGCATCAGATTGAAAGCCTGGAGACATCTTACAATAAGATTTTCTTCTATAAGAAATAGTTCGACTTTGGTCAGTATTGTCAAAATGCATTCGAAAATACCGCAAAATTTTTCTATCTTCATTTGTTAATTGTAGCATATTGTTGTTCGTACCGCTCAACCTTCAAATCTACGAGCTGGTGATTGGGTCATGAATGGCGTTGGAAGGAATGTTTCTCATTCATTTGGCTATGGCTTAATGGATGCAGGCGCAATGGTTAAACTAGCCGCTTTTTGGACTACTGTCCCAGAACAAAAGAAATGTACTATTTCTTATCCAGGACGATACAAGTAATATTAGTAACTTTTTTAATTTACAAATTTTTTTTTATTTATTGATTTTTTCTTACTTGATCAATTTGTAATTTAGGTCTATTTTACAAGGCAATCGATTACAACTCCAGCTTTATAGCGATGGCTGTGCGATGGATCCTCGAAATATGGTCATGCATCTGGAGCACGTGCAGGCTATTATAACATTAACGGCACCAAAACGAGGCGACATAGAAATTTATTTAACGTCACCATCAGGTAACCAGATAAGATCTTTGTTTTATTTACTGTTTGAAAGTGGCATTCATGTTTTTTTACATTTTAATTAATTGTTTAACTGATAAACATTACTTTTTGATTTATTTTTTTGTTTATTTTTGCAGGAACAAAATCAGTGTTGTTAGCAAAACGTTCACGAGACACGTCACCAACTGGTTTCCGTGATTGGGCCTTTATGACAACTCATAACTGGGGAGAAATGGCAATAGGATTATGGACTCTTGAAATCGATAATGATAGCTGGGACGGTGTGTATTTTTTTTTTTGTTTAGATCAATTAGAAATATTTTTAAAACGAAATTTTATTTATTTCTGTTTACTTTTTTATGCATCAATTTTTTTTATATTTCAGAAGAAAAATAGGAAATTTATTACTAAAAATACTCATACAACTTATTATCTGATTTAAAATTCCAGATGCTCAACTAGTCCGATGGGATTTGGTATTGTATGGAACGTCAGTAAAAATTGGTGCAAATGGTCGCGTGCATTCGTCATCACTTGCTGCTCGATCCATTTCTAAAGATCAACATCCAGAATTTCTTACAGATGATCTTCATTCAGTCGCTGGTCCTTGTTTTAGCTTTACGTTTGTTCTTTTAAATCTTTTCATTTGTGGTCTCTTATTGGAAAAGTAGTCGAATAAATAATTTGTTTATTTATTCTTCGCTTTTCTCTGATTTTGCTTTAAAAATTTGCTTTAATTTGATTTAGCAATTAGATTTAATATTTTTTTGTTTGACATTTTGAAAATTGATTTATTTATTTATTTATTGCTTTAAGTTTGACAACGCTTTAATTTGGTTTAGCAATTAGATTTAATGTTTTTTATTTGATATATTGGAAATGTATTTTAAAAATTGATAATTATTAATCGATAATTATCAAATATTAGATAATTATCAAATATTTCGATAATTATTAAATATTAAGAGAGTAAACCTCGGAAATTTTTAACTGACTTTAAAACGAAGGTAGAAAATAAAAAATAAAAAAATGGAAAAATTACTGCAAATTGACGATGCATTTATATTATTTTGTAATATTTAGAAATTATTTTTCTGTATATCTTATGATTTTAAAATTGTTGGTATTATTATTATTATCAAATTTCTCATGATACCAACTTTTTTTCTTTTTATTATCATTTCTCAGTCTTTTTTTTCGGTATTTGTCATAAGTGTTGTTTTATTGGTGATTTTTTGAAATTTTTACGATAGTCAATTCTTTGCATAGATTTATATTTCGATAAAAATGGAGGATATCTTTGAAACAAAACAAAACAACCGCTCTTTTTCCTCTTTGCAGTCTAATTTGAAGATTTTGAAGATTATTTTTTGTATAGTTTCTATGTGTACCATTACCATTTAAAGAAGTACCATAATTTCAAGAGTGGTACAAAAATATATAAAGCAGGTTGATATGGAATAATATATATATATATATTTGTGTTTTTAACTGATAATCATTAAACATTACTTGGTATTATTTTTTTTTATTTTGATGTATTTCTCATAATATATTCGTTTTTGTATTATTATTATTTTAAATTGCTCTTTAATTGAGAATCGAGATGAAAAGCCGCGGGGTTTTGCATTAATTTTTTAAAATCTCGTTTTATACCTTTTATGAATTTAATTGCTTATTTCATTTCTTTAATTATTATTTCCACCATCTACTAATCTACTTATTTTTAAATTAGTAAATGGTTTTGATAGTTAGTTTAAACCATTTATTTAATTTATTTGTTTGTAATAATATTTTTTATATTTTTCAAATTTGTATTTTTAATATTTTTGTTCTATTTTTTCTATTTTTTATTATTTTTCAATATTTCTAATATTATTTTTAATATTGTACTTTTCTTGTATTAATTTTTTACTAGTATTACCATCTTAGTTGATCATTAAAGAATAGGAAAAGAATAGGAAAAGAATGAAAATAATCTAATAATAGTAAATAATAATAAAAATAATAATCTAATTAATATGAGAACAATAGCCATTTATCATTGTGAAAAACGGAATTATATTTTGTTTTTTTTTTTTCTATTTCTTGCATTTAAATGCTTTTGAATACTTATTTTCTGCATTTTTTCTAGTCGTTTTTTAAATTATTATTTTTATTGTTTTTCATTTTTTTCTATTATTTTCCATCGTTCATTAGATGTTTTTATTATTTATTATTATTATTTTATTGTTATTTTGATAAATTTTTATTGCTTCATTTTAAAATTAATTTTTTAGTGGTTTTTGATTATTAGTGATTTTTGAAATTAGTGATTTTATTGTGAATTCGTGAATAGCGAATAGCAGTTGTTTTTTTCATTATTTTTGGATGGTCATAAGTACCATCCAGGCTAATTATTATTTTAAAAAACATAGAAATAACAATTTATTAAAAGAGCAAAAAAAAACTGTTAAGGCTTTTACTCTTATATCATATAATTTGAAGAAAAAAAGAATAAGTGAACGACACAAATCCTCGAATTCTCCGTAGAATAAGTGGAAATAGATGGTGAAATTTCTTCATAAAACACGATTCTTTTAACTTATTTAATTAGCTTTTAAATAGTGAAACGAGGAGGCAAGCAACTTGGTAATATTATTTATAATAAATCAGATATGAAATTATTATCGTTACATACCGGTATTTGAAATTGGTACTTCGATTTTTTTTTTTTTTACAAGGTTCTCCAATATTTGTATTCGTTTCGAGATCGTTGAATCGTTTCATAGCAAAACAAATGTTTACATAAATACTCATTTTTCCCTCATTTGCTTTCTTCTCGAGGGGTATTTAATTTAAACAGAAAATTCCTGAAAAATTTATTTAATCGTTGAAGGTCATTGATAGATTTTTTCTCATTTAACCATTATTAATGAATGTTGTGAATTCGTTGTGGATTTTAGATGGTTTTACCTTTTCAAATTTTTCAAATTTATTATTCAATTAATTTTTAAAAAATTTAAATTCTAAAAAATTTAAAAATTTTTGCAGTAAATTTTTTGGATTTACTATAGTTAGGATTTTTTAAAAAAATTTTAATTTTTAAAAGATTTCTAAGAAATTTAAATTCTAAAAAATTTAAAAATTTTTGCGGTAAATTTTTTTGGATTTTCTATAGTGATTCTTATCAATTCTAATATTAAATATTAAAAATATATATACAATTTTTTTTCTTCTTATAATTTTTAAACGAATTTTTAAAGAGTACAGCAAAATAATAGAAAATATCCGATGATGATTATTGATGTGAACAATGATAATCGCATTGAACTATTACAAAAATCATCCGAATTACAGTAACAATTCTCATTTATTCTTCCATCTTCACCTAAATTAGAGAAAATTTTGGTGCGAATTTGGTGCAAAATTTGGTGCAAAATTTGTACTATAAACTATAAAATATTTTAGCTAATTATTTAAATCGATTCATAAAATATTTTAAACTAAAAAATTTATTTATTTTAGTAAATTGTTTGCTTAAATTAGAAAAAAACTGGAATGAATTCGTCTGATGATTGCTTAATTTTTTGATTCAGCTTAGAAATGGATAAACTATTAAAAATAATCTTCTAACTATTCATGATGATTGGTTATAAGTGATTGACCTGAATCCTCCTCCTCAAGTAACATTCACTATTTCTTGTTTGGCTGGGTCTATCGACTACCAAGATAAAACTCCTTTAATTTTTCCAAAGAGTTTTCGGAATTCAAAGAGTTAGAACCATCAATATTCGTATTTCACATGATTTACCTTCGCAAAAATAAACAATCGAACCTATGGGCCTATAGCCAAAGCAATATGCAAAAGCCAATAGTAAAAACCAATTTTTTGAATACTTATATCCAATGATCCTTTTTTATTATGTTTAAATTCCAGAAAATCGTATTATTTACCTGTAACATTATAGCATCTAGCTGTTTGTGTATTGAATGGCAATAAATGCATACAACCTCTAAAAATTAATTTAATTTGAAATTATTAAAATTAAAATTAGATTAAAATTATTGATGCTATAAATTTCGAGAAATATAATTTATTAAACATTATTCGAAAACCAGATGGATAAAATTAAGCAATAAAAATTATGGAAAATTTCTATTTGTTCATAAAATTAACAATAAAAATTTTTATTTTAATAATATATTAAAAATAATTATTAAATCTCAGATATACCCAAAGTATAGGGGAAAATTTGGTTCGGGTAAAATAGAAGATTAAAAAGGCATTTTTGAAAGTAATAAGACATTATAATTTAACGATAACATAATTAACAATTATGCTATCAGAAGTCTCTGGCAGGAGACTAGAAATTAGCGAAGTGCAAAAAAATTTGTTAAAAGTTAGCGTAGACCAAAAAAAATTATTGAATTGGGTTTTTTAGCTTATGGGGAAAAAAATCATTTGCTAATCATATGCTGATATTAATCTGATTTTAGTTTTTGGTGCATACCTATACAATCCACCACTATCGGGACCTTTCACGCACCATTTGCCTTCGCAATACCTTGTACGTGAACAAGCTGAACCTTTCGTTAATGCAGTTTCATAGCATTCATAACATTTTATTGTCCTAAAATCAAAAATTCTTTTTAATTCCAGAAATTCTTTTCACTAATCCGTCAACAATTCACTTTAGAGTTCTACTGGATCGCTTAAATTTTTATCATTGCCAACTCAGTGGAATATTTAAAATCTGTCCTATGTGAAATTCCTTCGTCTATATAAGTACTAATATAGCAAATTCTCGGCTTTTCAAATAAATAAGCCTGGTTATGGTAATTTTTTATTCAAGAAATATAGTCAAAATTTCCTTGCCTTACTGGAATTCTTGGATCATGCTCGAAATGACGATGTGGATGATTGTGTGGTTCATTATCTGCTTCTATCGATAAAACAATAATAACTAATAAAACCAATGATATTTTTAGCATATTATATTCTTCATGAAACAAATGATCATAAAAATTTAATAATATTTATTAGTTCTTATGAAGTTCCACACCTTGTATAGTGGCAACTTTTAGAGATATTATATATATATATATACTTCAAGTCGACAAAATATTCTAAATTATATGGAGATATAGCACATAGCTAATAACGAATAGCAAAATAATTTGTTTTGCAAGCTGATTCTCGGCCATATGTTAAAAATTTTTCATTCCATAATCATAATTTTATAATATATCGTTTTCTAAGCATGCACTCATTATCTTTGTTGTATATTGGCCTCTTTGAGGGAATTATTTAGAGATGGCTGCAAAAATATGGAAGTAACATTTTTAGCAGCATTCGATAACCACGGTAGGCTTAGTAGTCCTATTAAAGGCCATAAATCGTACGGCCTATGGCGCTTCGCCTTAAAATCAAACGGCTAGTCTCCCTATTCATTTCGCTTAGATTTTTTTTTATTATTAATAATTGCAATTAATTTAATTAATTATATGCAATAATAAAGCGCAAAAAAAAAAAATTATTTGAAAATAATTAAATATTTTCATTAAAAATTATAAAACATAAGATCGGGTAAAACGATGCCAACCAAAATTGTCGATTATTGAAACGATGACAAACGAGTTTTCTTTTTAATCGTTTCATTTCTCATCGTCATATATATATACATATACGTGAAATCTGTAATGCCTAATTCTATACTTAAAGAAGATGGTTGACGGTGAAAAATATTGCTGCTTAGAAGAAAACGAATAAAAATTTTATAAAGAAAAACAACACGACCGGTTTCATTTCATTTGAATTTATCAAAATTTAACAAAAATCTATCTATGAAAAAAAAAAAACGATGTGATGATTAACGAATCTTTTTAAAAAAAAAATCACAGAGAATGAATGGTAACAGAAGATTTGGCTAAATTTTAGAGCCAATGCCTTGCCAAACGTTTCCGATTTCTTGCATCCACAAATAAATGATCCACAATTTCTATACAACCAGTGATTTTCTATGTTATTCAGTCATATACAATTTTCATAATTTTATACAATTTTATTTTTTCTTATAAGAATTTTTTAAAAAAAAATCATAAAAAATAAAAAATCATAATCCATAAAAATTGGCTGTTTTCCATATTTAACGTTTGGAGTCACCAGAATTCTATTCTATTCAAATAAAATTTTCTCAATTATATTAATTAATTTAAATTAATTTCAATCTTTGTGTTTTATTGGTTATTATTCATCGTAAAATTGAAATATTAATAAATTTGACAAAAAATTATTCAAAAATTACTAAATGACTTTGGATTTACTAAATTTTCGAGTTTTCAAAATGAGTTTGAATGATTGCAAAATGATTGCAAATTGCAATCGCATGAAGATTTGCTTATTTGCTTCGTGTTTATCATTAGTTCATTTGCAAATAATCAGTTGATTTTATTAAAAGGTGGTCATACTGATAATAATGTTGCAGTTGCAATGTAGCAATCACAAATCACAAAAGACTATTGCAATTATTGCAATTTTATTTTTTGTTACTATAAATTTGAAAAATACTTAAATTAGCCAGAAAATTAGATGCTATAGCGAAACAATAAAAGCAACCTTCCAATAATTCACTAATATTATTTTTAATATTATATTATAGTTTTATTAATATTATAGCAAAATTATTTCTAATTAGGCCAAAAAAATCAGAAATGATTAGCACATTATCACCATTTCTGGTTAGAATCGCCTCACTGGTTGCTAAAAAAAAGAAAATTTTGGCAAGCTGCGTGAATTTCTTGATAACATACTTATTTCATTCAGGAGATGGGGTCAAAATCCTTGCACATGGGACAATGATCATGACAATTATAAAAAGGGCCTATGCTGAGGTTCTATTCCCCATTGGGAAAAATTTGTTGGAAAAATTCGAGTGATGCTGACGACTCACATCTACTACTAAAGCTTTATTAACTGCATTAGTTGGAGTTCTTCTTCTTCTAACAGCTCTCATCATTACTGGTTAGGCTGCCTCCGTTGGCTACATACTGCTCGGACCGACGCCATCGCTAATAGTAATAGAAGCCATTTCTTTTTCCATCGTTATTTTCTCATTCGTTATTTTAATTACTTACGAGAATTTTTCATTCACGAATCCTATCGTATGAGTGCTCTGCTACTTCCATCGCTTCCTTTTGGTCATTCTACGCTTCCTCTTTTCAATATCAACGTTAGTAAAAAATGATTGAATGGAAAAGCATAGAAAATAATTAAGGAAGAAAAAGTAAAGGATAATTTGAAACGATTTATTATGATAATCAAGTATTATCCTTTTTTTTGCTGCTTTTATCGCAAATATAATAATTTCTTGTGTTTTAATGGTTTATATCAATTGTTGTGGATAAAGAAATTAAGAATGAGCACTTTGCTGAACTTTAATTTTAATAATAATTTCGTTCAATTCCAATAAATAAAGCAAAGAAACGATAAAATCATATCACTGATAACTTATCAACTTTATCGATTTATATTAATTTACCACATTAATTAAAAAATGCAAAAAGAAGAGCAAGTAAAATAAAAATAAAAATTAATAAAATAAGATCACTGCTTTTAGTTGATTTAAGAAGATACTTTGTACTCTAATAGTTTTACCATTTAGTTCTTAAATAAGATGCGATTCATCCATTTATCCATTGATATCACTTAATGTTACTGATAATTTAATATAATTTTGCCGCGATCAATAATAAACCGCCGAAAATCTTTTTTTTTGATCAACTAGATTTTATTTTCTGCAAATTTAATTTTAAATTCTATTTAAATTCTATCTTCAATTTTTTAAACTCACCAACGCTTATAATTTTAAGAAAAGGGTTTTATACAATGGAACAATATTTAGTATGTTTTGATTAATTTTTATTTTTTCATACAATATTTTTAATATTCATTTATTAATAATTTTAATTTTATTTATTAATTTTAAATTAATTTTATTTAATTTTGCTTATAATTCTATAATTTTTATTATTTATAAAAAATTTTATTTGGTCTATCGAAAAAACTAATTATTTCAATTTTCACGAGCTATAAAATATCATTATTTGGATAAATTTCTTTCGAGTAAGAATTTTAGAAAACGTTTGAATTGACTGGCCATATAACGGTATGTTTTGATGATTCGATTATCATATGGGGAGGAATGAAAGAAGATAATAGTTCTGAAAATCAATCCGATGTTTTATTTGTAATCCCAAAGGAAGTAGAAAAACGTGAAAAATTTAGAAAAAAATTCTGGTAATATTAAAAAATTTTTTTTTCAAAATTATAGCAAGAACTTTATATTTTAGCTAAATTTAAAGGTGTTTTTTTTGAAAAAATTTTTTTTTGAAAAAAAAAAATTAAAGAAACTATAAATCGTATTTGAATATAATTTTATTCATAATTTTTACAAAATTCAGGCGATTCTATAAGTTAAGAAGCAATGAAGTGATACCGTGTTTAAAAAATGCTACTGGTATATTAATCAATGAGTTTCTCTATATATTCGGTGGATTTTCCTCTCCAGGTGATAGTAACTGGTCGCTTTTTTTATCATAAATTGCCATTTGAAATTTTTAAAAAATGGGAAAAAAATTCATTAAAAAACCCAACTATACATGAGAAAATAAGATATTTTTTTTATATTTTTATATTTATATTTATATTTACGAATTTTATATTTACTAATAGACAAATGGAGATTCATTTGCATCTTGAAGTGGGGCGATAATTCTTGCAAATAGGAGAAGAAATCATTCTATAAGTCTCATAAATTTATGCTTCAAGAATTGTAAAATTATAATTTTTTGCAATAATTTATTAACAAAAGATATCATTCATTACACAATGCTCACGCAAAAGCATCATAAATTTATGGTTCAAGAATTGTAAAATTATAATTTTTTGCAATAATTTATTTGCAAAAATTATCATTTGTCAAGGCTCAATGCATCATAAATTTATAGTCAAAGAATTGCAAAAAATTGTAACATTGTGCAAAATTACAAAATTTTTGCAATTCATTAAATCAATATAAAAAAAATTTGTATGAAAAAAAATAAAAATTAAATATATAATCTTCGAAATTAAAATAGAATTATTGCAGATTTATATTGTTATGTTAGTGCACTTGTCACAGCCAATAATCAAATCTATAAGATCGATTTGGAGACAAGAGATTTTACAAAATTAAAGCCAAAAAGTGGACTCGTTCCTCAGCCTAGAATTAGTGCAGCTGGATGGAATTATTTAGGAAAGTAATAATAATAATCTTCTTTCTTCTCTTAGTGCAAAATTTAGCTAAAATTTTCTTATAATATTTGCACTAAACCATAAAATTTCCATTAGTTTCCTCGTTTAAAAAAAAAAATTACCATTTTTGCAAATTTGCAAATTCGTTAACTAATTCAATAGGTGCTATTACTTTGGCGGTTGGGGTCCACGTATTTTTGATGGGCAATATGAAATAATCACTTACGATCAACCAGACATAGAAAGAGTTATGATAGAAACAATTCCTGAAAATTTTCCTTCAGTATGTTTCATTAATCAATTGCTGCAATTCGATCCAGAAAAGGAAGAATTTGCCAATTTAAGGTGAACTTTTTAAAATCTCTGGATTTAATTGAAAATATTATGTTGGTTTTCTTTTTTTTTTACAGAAAATATATATACACGTAAATTGGATCGAAATTTATAATAAATTCGAAATTTACGATAGCATTTTCATCATATTTTTAGTGTAGACTTGGTGTATTGAGAAAAAATCCATAGGCTTAACAGACTTAGCCTAATCGAGAGATAGACTATCACTGCTATCATCATCGTTCGACATCTTTCATCTTTAATATCTTTTTCCGCTAATCTAGTCCTAAAATTTTCAGATGGCACTGGAGATATATGCTATTGTCTGGAGTAGGTCTCTTGTGAAAGTCTTGCTATAATATCGTAGTTCTCATAGTTAGAATAAATCTGACTCGAGATGTATGCTAACCACTGACCACTGATTATTTAATTTTTATAGAAGATTTTGCAAAAAATTTACAGCATTTTATTTTTATACGTTTAGTCATATAGACGATTCCATGAATAGCTTATTTATAAATTCAAGGACTTACGCAGATATTCCTTCTCCACGCAGTGGCGCAGCAGCTGTATGTCAACCAATGGAGAATTATGTTCTACTTTATGGTGGTTATGATGGAATTTCGTATTTAGACGATCTTTATACGCTTGATACGAAATCATTAATCTGGACGAGAATGTATGTCATTGCTATATTAAGTTTATTTTACGGTATTTCTAGCGGATTTTAATGGTAAAAATTAGTTATAGACTATTCCGCAATATGACGATTCCAGTCGGCCGTAGCGATTTCACTTTTACTCAGATAGATGAGAGAAATTTCATTGTTTATGGAGGCAATGGAATAGCGATTTCTCATACTTCAGAAACATGCTGGAAGTTGCAAGCGACTTGGACTGACCCACCACAGTTCATTTGGAGAAGCATTCCAACTGACACAATGTTACGACACGGCCATGGAGCTGTATGGTATGACGAGCAGCTTTATAGTGAGCTTCTTCTGAATATTAAGCACTAATATATTATTATAATCATAGTGATTTCAGAAACTATATTACCATAGTTAAATTTATTAGAAGAACTAGTGAATTGATTCCTTCCTGGTTCCACAAATCCTTAAGTTCTCAGGTTAAATCATAGATTTGTGGTCTGTTCGAAATTTTGGCACATTTGGCGATTATAGCTAAGTAGGAAAACTGAAAAATTGCTTGATCTACCAAATTGATTGATCATGAATGAAGATACACGGATCAAATACATTTTAATTTTCATTTTATTATATGATTGGTCAGATTTATGATTTTTTGATTTTATGATAAATAATTTTGAAATTGCTAGTTGTTGGTGGATTCTTTACGCCACCAGTGTCACCTAAGGAAACATCGCTCGGCGCCCTTTTGAATTTGAAAATACGAAAGAAACTTTCCACAGATATTCCAAAGAAGTTGGGCAGGAAGAGCTTCTGATTCATTTCTTCCTTTTAGTTTTAACTGTAACCATATAAATTGTCTTCAAATCCTCATAATTCACATTTTCGCGTTTAAATTTTTTAAATTCTTTTTAATGTATGAATTTTTATAAGTTTTAATTTTCTTAATAAAATTTGATTCAATTCAATATTGTATCACAAATTATGATAATTTCTGATAAGTTTAAGATTATATCACTTTAATTACTTTAGTTAACATAGAATCTTAAGAAACTATAAATAAACCAGAAAAAGATAAGAAAAAAGATAATGAATGGTTTTAGCGAAATATCAATCCAAAGCCCTCTGCATGCTGTGGCCATCTTCTTCTAACTAATTAGATTACTAGTTAGGTTCAGCTTCTTTAGCTGTTAGTATGTTTAGAATTTTTCGCTAGTGAGTCATTTGGCGATAGGCGATACAAATCGTTACACCAGAGCTATTCGGTTGCTTAAATGAAATTCCTCTTGGTCGGATCATGAACCAAAATTTCATCCTTCAACGCGACCGTCCAATTTGCTATTCCAGAAGATCATTTAGCATATAGAGCACAGGTGAGCCGATAGCAGACTGCCTAGATTTTTCGAAATTTCACAGATTTCACTCTTACGATGAAATGAAAGCCAAACCACGACATTCAGAAATATTTCGAAAGAGCGCAATACATTCACAATTATTCTCGATTATTGTTGTTTTTCAAATACAAAAAAAAGAAATAATAATTAATGTTTGATTGTCCAATTTAAAAAATTTTTTTTTTGCTAAAACATTCATTCATTATATACAAAATAGCGATTAAATAATTTTAAAAATTTATAAAAAAATTATTGTTTTGCACAAATTTTAATTCAAAAAAAAAATTTATTCGATATATATATATATATGATTTTTTGTACATAAATATGAGAATAAGAATGTTTTATTATTTAAATTTCAAATTATTATACAAATAAAACAAATAACAAATATATGAAAAAAAAAGATTTCATAGAGAATAAGGCAATAAGATATTTGTGCCTATAAATTACGAACTAACAGTCTAACATAGTGATTAGTTATCAGCGAAATAAAAAAAATGTCAAAATTTACATTTCACTGATTATTTATCACTGAATTATTCAAATAATTATATTTTCAATATTTTTTCTTTTATTATTTATAATCATTTCAGTTTCAAATTGACGTCAAAACCTTTCTTGAAAAAAAAAAAAAAAATTAAACCAGTATTGCACAATTAATTTTCATTAATTATCAGTGAAATATAATGTAAATCAGCAATTTGAACTGATAAAAGAATATAGATTTTTTTTTTTTTTTTTTTCAAGAAAAGACCACAATATCAAATAATGCGAAATTTCTAATAACTAATAAATTCTAAAATTTTTTACTAAAAATATAGAGAATTTTATCAATTATAATATTTAAATAATCAAATAAGAAAGAAATAGAAAAGAAATAATTATGGCAATAGATTACAGAAATATTGGAAGAAAGGAGATCAGCAATTAGCAAAATATAATAAATACGTCGATCAGCAATAAATAATATTTGCACAATTCTGTTTTTTTTTATTATCTAAGAATTTTCACCATTACTCGTTAAACTCGCCCCAATGGCTTGTCACACTGTACAAATATACCACAGAGTCCCTTAGCGATAGAAATACAGGTGAGTCGTCGGCATTATCCCGATTTTTGGGAAGGTTTACTGCTATACAGGTCTGTTAGGAAAATTGAAAACATACGAAATGATTATATACATATATTTTGCCTTTAGCTAACACCTGAATATTGGGTCGTATGAATATTGGGTTTATGAACAATGAATAAGGTGATAAATTTAATTTCAGGTTTCTTATAAGAGACTTACCTTTTCGGAAACCAGAAATTGCAAGATATTTTCATGAATATTAACAAATAAAGAATAAATATAACCTTACATATTGCAAAATATAATGTATATACAAAATTATTTTTAACCTTTGAAAATAAATTGCTTTAATTATACTTATTTTTTAATATTTTGATGGTGAAGTATGGAAGAACTGAAGTTTTCGGAATCATTTTCAAATTGAACTCTTGCAATTAGTTTCATGAATAGCTTAGCGATGGTGATAAGAGTGATAATAATATCTTAATTATCGCAATCCTTGTCAACTAAAGAATCCTTATCTATACCTTCAGTTCCTTCAGAAAGTGTTTCAAGAATCGGTTGAAATTTTATTTTATTAGCTTGATTCCTTGCTTTTTTCGAAGCATTTTCGCTAGAATCTATACTCTAAAAAAATAATAAAATAATTTCAATTAGTGAGAAAAAAAAGAAAGAGAAATAATTAAAATTTCTTAAAATTTGATAAAAAGCAACAATTAGCATATATTAATTTATAAATTTATTTTTTAATAGATTTTATAGATTTTTGAAAATAAATTTTTAAATAATGATTTGCTAGAAGGATCTATATACCTCTGGCTTGTTCTGAATAGCCAATCGTAGATAAACATCAGGTAGCAAGTTATCCTGCTGAGCAGGATCAGATATAAGACGAACTGATCCAGAGTTACCTTTGATCGTCTGTAAGTAGTTAAGATATTGATACAGATATATTCATTATCCAAACAATAAGTGATAAGTGAATGCTGTTAAAATTTTTTATTTTCTTTAATTTTTTAAATAAATTTTATAAATTTTATAAAACAATAAATTAAATAAAGAATAATAATAATGAAACAATTATGGTGGAAAATTATTAAATTCAAATCATTAATATTCTCTAAAATTGCTTAAAAAAATATCAATTTATCAGCAATTTATTAATATTATCAGGTTTGATAATTTATTAATTAGATGTGGTGAATAAAGGTATACTTTTTCATAAGTTATAAGCGCCTGCCAGAAGCCAAGATTAGGTCTGACCAAAGGTCTCTTATCGATCATTAAATGATAAGCATCTCTTAACGATCTACATTTGTATTTGGTAAGATAAGCCAAACATATTGATGCGGAGCGCGAAACTCCCGCAACACAATGTACAAGAACATTGCCACCATCGGCAATATTGACCTCAATCTAAAAAAAATTTATAATATATAATATTTATAATGTATTTATAATAATTATATTTGTAATTTATATTTTTAAAATTTATAAATTTATTTATAATTTATTTTTATTATTATTTATAATTATTTATATTATATTATTTATTTATAATTTATAAAATTTATATTCTAGAATTTATCGAATTACAATTGCTTAACTAAAATTATATATAATAAATTATAAAAAAACGATTAAAAAAAAAAATTAAAAACCTGGTCGCTTAAAAAATCTAGAAAGGAATAGATGTCAACATCTGGCTTATCCTCAAGCCATAATTTTTGTCGTGCTATATTACCAAACATCTTCAATTGTGGAACCTATAAGTATCATAAGTAATTTTCTTTTATAAGAGCCCTCACCTTTACTGGTTAGACTCACTTACTCTGGACAAATATTCCAGGGAATCCCTTAACGATGGAAATACAAGTGAGTCGCCAACATCGCCAGGACTTTTGGATAGATTAATTCTACCGGAAAGTAGGACCTCAGCATCGGTGCTCTGAAGCAATAACCCGAGCCTTCCATCCACTTATATGCAACTTATCTTGGAAGATATAAAAGAAAACTTTAATTAGTTTAGTTTATTAGTTAGTAGTTGCAATAAAATTTATTGTGATACTTTAAAGATATTAACAAAATACCTCAGTTGTAGCATTGATAATCATTGAAATTTGATATTTCTTAATATTTTCGAGTGTTAAACCACTTACACCAGAAATAAATAGTCCTGGAATAATTTCCGAAATTTTCGCATATTCATCGTTAACTTTAAATGATTTTTGAGGCATTTTCTTTAAGTAATCTCGACTCGTAATCAGTAATCTGTAATCTGATAAAAAATTAATGAGACGAGAAAAATTATGAAACATTTGGTATAGCCTTTTGAAACAATAAACTATTGTTCTAGGCCACATTCAACCACGGCAAGCTCAGCAGCCTATAGACTATTTGAATGTTGAATAAGTAGTTTGAGCTCGAGACTTTCAAGAAAAATATCAAGCAAATCGTATAAAAAGTCAACCTCAATCATCAGTCATCAGAAAATGAATAATTAAAAGTGCGAACAAACATTTCGTTTTGCTTTGCTGCAATAATCTAAAAGGCCTAAGGCTTAGATTCTATGCGATTATAATTTATTTCCGAAAGTTTTATTCAATTTTTTTTCGAAGAAATCAGTTGAAAGATAAATTCAAATAAATCGAAAGAAACTACTAAAAATGAAATTCTTATTATATCAAATAAAATATGAAAAAAAGAAAAATATTATTATTTAATAAATGAAATTTTTTTTCTTCTCAATAAACTTTATTTTAAATAAAAATTTCATAAAAAAATTTTTGAAGAATTTAAAAATTAAAAAATTAAAAAATATGATCGAAAACGATATTCATAAATAATAAGAAAATTAAACGAAATGATGGCGTTCTTCGATTGTTCATCAATTTTTCAAAATAAAATAAATTTTTTTATTTTTTCTTAGAAAGAAAATTTAAAAATTTGAAAAAAATTTTTTATTTTAAACTTTTAATTTTGAAAAATTATCAAAATGCATCAGAAAATCAATCAAAAGAAGTTTTTTTCTAACAATAAATTCGTTTTTTAATTTAAAAAGAAAAAATATCGTTCATGACAATTTTCAACGAATCTTAGCGAATTAGAAAGCATTGTCCTCAGTTTTTTTTTTTTCGTTTCGGTTTTTCATTGACTATTTGCTTTTAAAATTTAAATTTAAAATAAAAAAAACTTTAAAGCAAATTTTTAATTTCAAATTTAAAATTGATTTTTAATTTAAAATTAATTTAAAATTTTGAATTTTAAAATTTTAACCTCAAATTTTAATTTTAATTATAATTTTTGAAATTTATTTATTTATTTTGAAAATTTGAAATTATAAATTATGCTATTTCATTTCATTTATTATAATGAAATTTTATTTTTGAATCAAAAAAAAAGAGATTAAATTCAAAGAAATTCAAAGAAAATACGACAATTTTATAAAATAAGCAAAATTACGAAAATGCGATTTTTATTGAAAAAAAAAATATATGAGTGAAATTTAACAATAAAGTTATAAGGTAAGTTAATAATAAATATTTACATCACAAACGAGTTGGCAAACAATTTTTTTTTTTTTCTTTCCGCATGAATGCAACAAAAAAAATTTAGCCAAACGAGTTTAAGGAAGAAAAATTTATTGATAAAATTTTTGATTTAGGTAAAAAGTTTGCGATGAACGTTCAATATTTCACTTCAGCTGACTAGAGAATTGTACTGGAATTATTAGAAGAAACGATTTTTTGCCATAGGCGAGTTCATCTAACGATAGAAATATTTGGCTGATCATCTTGCTTAGAATAGGGATTTGCATCAATAATCGGACACCATTTTGTAATCGGACATCGGATATGCACACCATTTTGAATCGCCATTTTCCAGTCGGCTATCATTCCCCTCTATCTGTATTTCGATTTGTATAAATAGTGAAATATAGAATTTGATTTATATAGAAATTAATAAAAAATCTATTAATGTTGATAAATAATATTTTATTGTTATATGAAAAAATGTAAACGGAAATGGGAAAAAAAAGAATTTTATTTATAAAGGACAAATTGCTATTCATTTCCTTTTTGTTTCAAACATCATTAAAAGAAAATTTTTATTTATGAATATTTTTATTCTTTAATTTAATCATAAATATTTATTCCAACAAGAATGATTAAGTCTTTTTTTTCTATTTAATATTAATTTTTTTCCATTTAATTTTTAAAAAAATATTCAAATATTCAAAAATAAATTATAAATTTGATGAAAAGAAGCGATTAACACTGATTAATGATTAATGATTATTTATTGAATTTAATACATAAATACGATAATAAAAAAAAAGTGGAAAAAAATTAAAAATTGAAAAAAAAATATAAAAATGCAAAACAAAATATAAAAACATAAAATATAAATATAAAATTGTAGAAAACAAAATAGTTTATTGAAATTTTAATATAATATGACGAAAAAAAAAGAAAAATAAAACGAAAATCTTTTTTAATAAATTTTCTATAAATTTTTCTGAAACATATTTCATATAATTTTTATTTATGCAATTAAATAGACTTTTTTTGAATGTTTCCATGAGAAATTTTGTAAAAAATATTGAAATATAAGAATAAATTAAGAGTTACAAAGTTTACAAAGAGAAATAAACATAATTCAATCCTTTCGAATTATTTTTCTTTTTGGATTTATGGATTTATGAGTATTTAAATAAGTAAAGTAAGAAGATTAGTGTTTACCACTTCTGCTTAAGCTTGCTTCATTGTTTATTAGCAAAAAATTAGGAAATTTTATGATAAGAGAATACAACTGGGAATACAAGTATAGCCATTGTCCACCCGGATTTTTTAATACTTTTCAGAAGAAGCATTTAAGTCTTTACAAACTAATAAATAATCACTTGGCCATCATATCATATTGCCTCAATAATTTGGCCTAACTACTCGACTTTAAACGAATAAAACTCCACAAAACAAATTTATAAAAGGCAAATCAAATTAAGTCGATTTGCTTTAATATTCTTGTAAAATAACAAAATAGAGACTATTGATGAGCTTTAAGGCAGAATAACGTATATTGAGTTAATAAGCCAAGAAAAAAAAAGAGATTAGGCACTAAATCATTTATACAGCTCGCAAACTAAGTAGTAATAATGCGAGCTGTTAAAAAAAGAAGAAGCGGATTATTATTTTAATTGTAGGAATAATGATATGAAATAAAAATTATAAAATGCATTAAATATTTCTAAATGATAGTTCAATCATTTATCATTCATTGATCAAAGATACTTTGATAAGAGAGCGATTATTTGAGTCGAATTTTTTAGGATCTTTCTTGCGAGGAAGGAAAGAAAAGATTTGTCAGGACTATTTAAAATTTCCTGCCTGCCTGCTAATTCCTATGAAATCTAATCATTTTAAAATTTATTTTTTATGCGCATAGATTTTTTCTTTAAGGCATTCACCATTTTGAGTTAGGCCCATCTTATTGGATCAGACAAATTTTTCCAGACAACCATTTGGCGATAGAATTACGAAATAGACATTTGTTAATGATGTTAATGGTTATATTATCAATAATCTGCACTATTCATCTCGGTTTTAAATTATGTTTTAACCAGCTATGATTAGCTCTACCATTAGTCACTTCTATCAGTTTATCAGCTTTTCAATTATAAATTATTATATGTGCATACCATTCGAATTTTTTGAAAAATTTGAAAAATAGATTTTTTCATCATTATTCGCATATTTCTTTCTAATCGAAAGTGATTATTGTTCAACGTCTGATTAATAAAAGATTACTAAAAAATCAGAGAATAAATTTCATTCTTAAATTATTATTTTTAACGGCTTAAATTCACTGATAATATGATAATATAAAATGATAATCGTTCAACTTTTCAACAAATCATTTAGATTTTATACAAAGAATTCGTAACGATTTAAATCGGAAGAAAAGATTGAATTTAAAATTTAAAATAATTTAATGCAGTGAATAGCCAATAAAATAGTTTTTTTATTAAATTTTTAACGCAATCTTTCTCCTTTTTTTTTTCAAAAATTTCGATTTGAAATAATTTATTTTTCCTATTGCATAGTTTTCTTTAGATTAGCATTTTATGATGGGATGGAATGGCTCAGTGGAATGTGATTCATATTTCGAAACGTCGATTCTGGGTTCTATTCGAACAAATAAGAATAAATCTATTTATCAATTATTTAAATGATAAATAGTGGTCCAGCAAAGTGCTTCCTTAGTAAAATCTGCCTGATTTGACAAATCAACAGTTGTTTAATCAAAAATAGTGGGTGTTCTTTAAGAAAAATTTCATCCTTCTATAGAAAATAATTTTGAAAATCGAAAAATTCGATTATTGGCAACAAATTTTCTTTTTTTTAAAGTTCTCACCATTATTGGTTAAACTCGCTCCACTGGCTTTTCCCAATTGAGCAATATGCCAAGCAGTTCTTGGCGATAGAAATACAGGTGAGTCACCAGTATCACCCAGATTTTTAATCAGGTTTACTCCTGCGGTGAATCGAACAACAGCATCGCTATTCACAATTGAGCAACAACCCACTGAGCCATTCTACCCTCATTGGCAACAATTATATCGAACTAATTAATAATATTTTGAAATGCATAAAAAACCACTTGTTTTTTAAGGAAAATTGATTGAATATCAATGTTCATAAAGCTTTAACAGAGGTTTTGAATTCTTCGTAAATTGGAGTTATTTTAACCAATTGAATTAAAGGGTATTTATTATAAAAATTTATATAAGTTTATAATCGGTACTAATCGTATTTATGCAATCATTACATTAATTTTATTCAAAAATCTCAGAAATTAATAGATAATTTGAAAATAAAACTTTAGAAGGAAACTAAAATCAGAATAATACTGATGGAGAAATGATGGATTATTATAAATGATATAATTCAATGGTGCTTTTAACGTCTTTTTTTTCTTGAAGAACAATCCCCAAGCCCACTTGGCTTGTCGAACTAGGCAGATTTTGTAAGGTCAATAAAAAATCTACAGGTGAATTAGCCAGCACCAACATCAGGATTTTTACAGGTTTAGTTCTGTTAGAATTGAACTCCAACATCACCGTTCCAAAATGATTGCGTCAACCCACTGAACCATTGTACATCCAATCATTATTTTTAATGCTTCTTTAATTAACTCGATTCCTTGAAATCTGAAAATTTCGAAGCCGACAGTGTAA